ATAAAAATAAATTTTACTAGAAAATATATGTGAAAAAGAACTTTTTACTATTTAAGAGATGCAAATTTTCCTTTGGATACAGTGGAAAGTATAACGAGGTTAGTGCCACGGACATTAGAAGTCACATTCGCCTAAACTCAACATCAAAAATGAAGGTACAGATAATAAATGAAAGCTGTTTTAGAAGCAGTTTCCTACTGAATATATGTCTGTGTCATGCAAATCCTTGATCAAAAGCAGCAACAGACATAGCTGACAGACAGTTCAACCTTGAAATCTAAACATAAAATTATCTAGAAAGAGACAAAGTTTATGCTCAAGGAGCATACCATGGAAATACAGACAGAAACATCACAGAATAATAATGCACATTTCCCAGCTGCTTAGGTAACATATAGAAGACAACAGGAAAAGAATGTTGTAGAAACATCTGGAGTGCTGCCATACATTTATTTGGATAAAAGGCAATAATATGGGCAAGAAAACTTCATGGTAATAAGCAATAAAACAAGAAGTAAAAAACTGATCCCTCAAAAAAAGTATTAGTTGGCTAAGTGAATGATAAATACAAAGAAACACAACAGTTTTCATACTTGATCTGAAATAGTGGAGGGAGATAAATGATAGAAATATCTGCTGTGCACACTAAACAAATGAAGTCTTCTTTGTAAAGTAAAAAGTACATTAAGGAATGTATTGCTAGTGATGGAAAGCTGGTGTGTACATGTTAGAAGTTCTTGCCCTTATTTAAGAAGAATATATAAAACTTCAAAATGACAGCTTTAAGCATTGTATCAGCTAAGACTCAATTAAAGCTCATTTTCAGATATACTGTAGGGAATGTTTTTTTTGCCTCTTAATCCTTGAGAATTTTGCTGATGTTTATATGTCTAATACTGTCCATACTCTTGAATGTGATAATTAAAAGAGTTTCATTTTGAGATGTAGAATAATATCCACAGAACTAATGAGCTCAATGGCTAAAAGGTGTGCGGATGTACGAATCTGTCATCCTGCAGTGGAAGTTTAAAAGGTCATGTTACAACAGCAGATTTGTTTCTTTCACACAGAGCAGTTAAAACCAAAAATTATGCTTTCGATTTCATGAAAGTAGTACATGGAAAATATAGGCAATTTTCATTTTTCATGTGGGCATTTTTTAATTGCTGCAGTGTTGGTGGGATTGCACAGCTGAAAGTAAAAACACAATTAAAAACCGAAAGTAACAAACAAAAAATTAGTTATAAACATATTTTATTTCTCATCAAATACTATTTCTTTTGCCTTTGAAAAAAAATTGACATTCCATTTGCAGCTCTGTAACAGAAGTGAAAAAGGACCTTGATCTTAAACTGTCTACGCAGTACTTAAAAATGAGGCCTTTATTCATTAGTCTTGTGTTTAAAATAGCCCACCTGGAGGACAGCCAGGCTTATTTCCTTTTCAAACCTGAGAAGACTTGAATCCATTTCATTTATTTCCTAGGAGATTGCTCTAATTACTGTACTGTAGTTACTGTGGGGCAGGCTCCTTTCAGTCATTTCTATGCAAATGTTCCTCTTTATATAAAGTAACATATTATTTGGAGCAAGAACCAAGACATAAGTGAATTCTTTGACCATAAGCTTATTGACCTAGACCATATATGTTTCTAGTAGATATAGACTCCCTGTTCTCAGCTTACCCATCCCCACCAGCTTCCTCCCATATGATTTACCAGACTCTTAGAACCAGAAACACTGGTGGGGATTTGGGCCAAAATATTTGGGTATATGTGAAATTTCATTTTTGACAAAGGATTTTAGAATTTAAAAACAGTTTTTAAGAAAAATATATACAGAACTTCTGTGATGCCTTTTCTAAAACATCATCCTTCAAAAAAAGACGACCAAGTTACATATATGGTGTTTGACACTGGGATGGTAGGTGACAGAAGTTTTCACCATTCCTTCTCAAGAACAGATTAAAGATCTTAATGTACTAGATTCATAAAAATTAAACTGAAATCAAGCTGTTCCTCAGGAAAACAAAACAAAACAAACAAAAAAAGAAAAAAAAATCTAAAAACTCCCAAAAGACTGAAAAACAAGAAAAATACACACACACACACATACAACTGCACAAACAAAAAATCAGTTTACTTAGAAAATCTGAATGTTGTGCATTAAAATTGAAAGAAAAAATTTACCTTCAGACCCTCACAGCAAAACAAGTGGTCTAAATTACATAAGTCTTTCTCAATCAAGCCTTCTATTATCTTTAGAGGATTTTTTTGATCGAATTCAAAAAACATATTCAAAAGAGATCTTCCTTTCAGCAGCAAGAATAAGATCTGAGCTAAACTTCAGCTATGGTGGAGTTTCTATTACGACATTCAGAAAGTCTACCTTGTCCACCACATGCATACTCCACAGAACATTCAACTATCATTATTATCTATTATTATCTATTATTACACCTATTAATATTTTATAACAGCATTCATTATTGAAGATCTAATACTTTCACATAACTCCAATGAACAACTATTCTTGTAAGAATAAATAGACATGGTACTTCTTAAAAAGACAAAAATAAAATAAAAATAATAATCAGTCATCTGCTGGATAGCATTTTAATTTTCCCTGATAGCAAATTAACAAAGGTTACAAGAAATTACAAACAATGTGCATTAATTTTAGAAATAAAACCTTTTGAAATGAAAGAAAAAATTGAAAGGAGAACAGAGAAAAAGAAAAAAGAAAAAAGAAAAAAGAAAAAAGAAAAAAGAAAAAAGA